CACACAAGCCCCCGGACGTTTCTGCCATCTGGTTCGGGGGTGTGACAGTTACACGACACATAGATGATGTTTTGACACAGAGCGATGAAGTATGTTGCTATAACAGGAAAGCGTATCCTACTTTGAGCTACATGATGTGTTCAAAGCGTAATGTTAATATGGTAAACGGCAAAGAACACAACTTATACATGTCATATTACGCGACACAACTTAAGATAACACAACACATAATTTGGAGTTACGCACGCATAACCGAGGTCATGTAGATATTTATCAAGCTCTAAGTCAGTATTTAGCTCATTATTCACTCATATAGGGTCAAAACCGAGAGCTCAAGATCAGAATAATTATGTCTTATCTCATGATTTCCAAGAGGAATAAGAATCAAGGTTTCCATATATTTGATTGAAGGTAATTTTTTCTCCCTAGAAAGCTTGATTAAGCTTTAATGGTGAAAATTAAAGAAGTTGTTAGAACTTGGTTCCAATGCTTGGAATTTAAAAGTATAATGTTGTTATTAGTGTCATAACCATGATTCCAAGCTGTGGTTGATGGTTTCGTGAATGGATCCTTGAATTTAGTATTTAGAGTTATAAACCCTAAATGTTGAAAGTCTTGGAAACTTGAATGAAGTTGATGTCTTAATGAATTAAGACATATAGATAGGATATTCGTGGAAATTAATTGATTTTGAGACAAAAAGTTGTAACATGAAGTTTATGTGATCAAATGAATGATTATTTTAGATATGGATTTGAATTTAGCTCTTTATGGAATAAGTCATGTTAATAAGAGCTTAATGTGTTATTTCAATAGTTTTTTGGCAATGAGATTTGGTCAAGACAACCGTCGATATAAAAAGGGATATTTGTACAACCAATATATGAATTTCACTTTTTAACATAATTTTTTTGATATTCTTTGAAAAGAAAACATTTAATGAAATGGTTTTGATCTAGCGGAGAATTCGGTTGTAATGTTTTTAACATGTTTCAAAAAGTAAATTAATCTGGAGAAAAAAATACATTCTTACCGAAAGGAAACAAAAGATCATCAGTCGAAACTAACCGTCACCCGAAAATTATTTACCAAAATAGAACTAACTGTCTTTTAGAAATTATTACGGAAAGAAAACTATCAATAGAAAATAAATTGTTTTCCGTTTGCCAAAACCAATGTAATTAGAGCCTAAAACTAATAGTCGTATGCCGCATTCCGTGTTTTTTTTTCTAAATATGTCATGTTATGCATAATAAACTACTCACTGATGCACGACATGTTCTTCATAATATGACATGTTTTCGAGAGAAACTAATCATCGACAGAGAACAATTCTATTAAAAGAACTACTCACAGCACCCACACTCAATGTCCTTTGCTGAATTGAAATTAATCATTATCTGTAAAAAAAAATTACCGAAAAAACTATTTAATGTCTACCCTTTGCAAAGGTAAATGACTAGTAACTTTGAATGTAAACCACATGGGCCAAAACTATAAGTTGCTTTAGAGAAAAATGCATATTTGGTCCATATGATTTGCTTAGTTTTTTTGTTTTCCACCGTTACAAATATAGTCCTTTTTCCCTACTTTCATAATGGATTTATGTGGGCCTAGCAATTCTCGACAAGACCCGCGATACGAGCCGCGACATGATGCACGACACGACACGAAATAAATGGGTTTGGGTTGAGTTTTTCAACCCGCCAATCCGTCAACCTGTTTATTAAACAGGTCATATATGAGTTTCTTAAAAAAATATATGGGTTGACCTGTCAACCCGTTTAGAATTTTAATAAAACAAATTATATATTTTTTAAATGTATTAAGTATTATACACTATACAGTTTATACTTTATACTAGGATATGATACTCGATAACATTGACCATTTGACCCGTAGGTAACCATTTGTTGATTTGCATTGCAACACATTTGGCATTTTCCCTAAATAATCTTAGTATCCTACAAACAAAATCTAATAAACCCTCTCCCGGCCTCCCCCTCTGTGATGAACGACAGAAAGAACTCACGAAGAATGGCGGCATAAACGGTTGAATCATTATCTAATGACGTCGACGTCTGGGATTGAATTTATCTATGTTTATATTAATGTTTTAGTTTGGACATGTTTCCATGAATGTTTTTAATTTTCATTTGGATGTTTAAGACTTAAGTTTCTAAAATTAGGATATCCTTGCATCAAGAATTTATTTATGTTTAATTATCAATTTTATTTATGGAATCTGACCCACGAACACACGAACACGCCAACCTGTGAACCCGTATAAATAAGTGGGTTGACGGGTCATATATGAGTTTATATTCCAAACTCTCCAACCCGTGACCTATATAGTTAAATGGGTCGTGTCGGGTTGGTATATTTTGACACGCCAACCCGTGACCCGCCAACTCGAATACGACATGTTTGTCAGACCTAGATTTATGCTCCTCTCCACATCATTGGAAAGACTATTTTGCATATCCTATTTTTTTTTATAATGGGCTAATGTCATAAAAACCCTCAAGTTTTCAGGGTTTTGTCGGTTTTGCCCAAAGTTGAATTTTATGTCCGTTTTTACCCTAACATTTTCCAAAAAATGTTCGGTTTTACCCTTTTACCGATGATAACAAGTTACCATTATATTAACTTCGCAAAAAAACCCTTAAGTTTACAATTTTTTTTACGTTTTTACCCTTAAGTTTATAATTTTATTTACACTTTTTACCCTATGTATTTTTTTTTCATATTATACGTATTCATGTAGAAAAACATATTTATATACAAAAAAAATTTAATTAAATATTGTATTTGCATTTTTTTTAATGTTATTATATATATATATATATATATATATGTGTGTGTGTGTGTGTGTGTGTGTATGTGTGTATAGGTTTTTTTTCTTGGATAAACCATTTAAGATGTAAAAAAACAAATTAATATGTTTTTAGAACTACAAATACGTATTTTTATGTATTTAAAAATATAAATATCAATAACAAAACTTGTTCAATCATAAACATGTTTATATAAGTATATACATATATTTTTAGAAGTGTAAATATATATTTTGATATATGTTTATTTTAAAAGTATAAATATATTTTTAGAAGTATAGATACATATTAATATATAAAAATGTAAAAATATGTATTTATACTTCTAAAAACTATATCTATAAAACACGTATTCATAATTCTAAAAATATTATTTATCTTTTTAAATGGTATAACCTTGCAAAAACACACATGAACAAACAAACAAATATAGATATATATATATATATATATATATATATATATATTATATAACATTAAAAAAAATATAAATATGATATTTAATTAAACATTTTTTCGTATATAAATACGATTTTTCTGCATGAATACGTATATTATGAAAAAAAATACTTAGGGTAAAGTGTAAAAAAAATTATAAACTTAAGGGTAAAAATGCAAAAAAACGGTAAACTTAAGGGTTTTTTTTGCGAATTTAATATAATGGTAACCTGGAAAACCTGTTATTACCGGTAAAAGGGTAAAACCGAACATTTTTCGAAAATGTTAGGGTAAAAACGGACATAAAATTCAAATTTGAATAAAACCGACAAAACCCTGAAAACTTAAGGGTTTTTATGACATTAACCCTTTTATAATTTCTGAACACTTTTTAATATAGGAAAATACCCACCCACCCATACTCCAATCTCTAACCCTTCTTATACCCATCCCACTTCTCTCATTCCTCTGTTGACCACCACCAACGGATAAGAGCCACTTGCAAGCCAAAATAAACCAACTATATGGCTCTGAAGAATTTAAATCTATAAATAATCTTCAAATCGATTTACAAGATAAATGTTGCTACATATTACCAAATCTATCGAATAGAATCAAAGTTTAAAGAAATAAATCATTTTATATAGTTCTAGAAGTGCTCAAAAGATATGAACTTCAAACAAATAATAACTTACAACTTATTATTCAAGAAAACAAATGACTTGCTCTTATGATACTTGACAGAAAGAGTATAAGATTATATGGCATCCCCAAGAGCACCATTTGTCTTGTTCATTGGTAACCTTGAAATGTGTCTCTAATTCAATTATGACTATGATCAAGGGATGGTGGCAATTGGTCTTCCTAACAATATACAACATACCGGTTCCATAAATTCAAGGCAAATATTTACCTCAAAAATTATAATTCTTATAAACAACTTCCATCGGAGTCAAATTGAACAATGTATCCCATGATATCTTTAACTTTCATCTCGACAATTTATTTTCTTCACATGTGTTAATCAAAAAGGATAACACCATTAATTGACCACTACAATTAATTTATAAAAAAATGTATAAGAAATTGTTAACCAAAGTAAGGGCTATTTGGTAGGATCTGAATTTTTAAAAACTGAATATTTAAGAGGTCTGAATTTGTAAGAGAGTCTGAATTTTAAAATGGTGTTTGGTTGGATCATCTGAATTGTTGTGCTGAATGATAAAAATGACTATTTTACCTTTATATTTTATTTTTTGCTCAATTCAATGTTTTTATGTACAAAATAACTACAAACAATCATGTTAATTATCCCAAACAACTTGAATCCTAACAAGGCTACATGATAGTTTCATCACTACAACTATGCAAGACCATATCGTAATTTTGAAAATGCCTGGACTCTATTCATAAAAATCAAGAAACCATTGAGACCAGATTTGCAATTTCTCTTTATTTTATTATATTTTAGTATTTTACAATTTAAAGAAAAAATAATAGGAAAGGTAATATGTAGGGTTTGACAGAATCTTGAAAGACTGACTTCATTGATTTGATTCAATGATTCCATATTGCTTTTGCAATCAACCCAACGTTTTCAAGGTATAGATTCTCCTAAATCTCATACAATTATTCTTCACTTCGCCATCATCCCTACAAATTAACCGATCAACAATCTTAATTCCTCAACACGTTCATCAAAACTCCAACTCAATTTCATCTCCGATGCCTGTAAATCCTCAGAAGCAGCTTCGGAGGCTCCCACACGTTTTTAGCCAAGTTCTCGAGCTTCCTCTCGGATCATACGCCGATGTTTCAATCGAAGATAAATCCGATTGTTACAGGTTTACAGCGAACATTGATGACAACGCCTTTTCCGGTAAGGTAAAGGCTCATGCCGTGAAGATTCACCCGGAGGTGACGAAAGTTGTTGTCAGGGGAGGAAATGGATTTGGAGAGGTGGAGTTGTTGTTGGATAAATTAGAGGTTGATGGGTGGAGATTTCGGCTTCCGGCGATTACACGGCCGGAGTTGGCGACGGCGGTTGTTGTAGGACCTGAGCTTATTGTTATAGTGCCGAAGGGAAGCCGGAGCAGCCGACGGCAACCTTCAAGATCATGGTGGTAGAGGGCGGAACAGAGTGTACAAATTATAGATTACAGATTGCAGGTTACACGAATGGTCCCTATGGTTTAGAGTAATTTGTACGTTTGGTCCTTAACTTATTTTTTTTAGCTCAAAAGGTCCCTATTGTTTGTTTTTTTTTGCGCATTTGGTGGCTGTCTTTGCTAAAAAAACTATTTTGCCATTGATTTTTTAATTTATTTTTTTTAACACACCCCCAACCCCATTTCCACCTCACATTACCTTACCTTATCTACCTTACCTTATCTACCTCACCTTATTTAAATAAATTAAAAAATCAAGGGTAAAATAGTCTTTTTAGGTAAGATAAGGACGAAGCGCGTAACAAAAAAAAATAGAGACCTTCCGAATTAAAAAAATAAATTATGGACCAAACGTACAAATTACCCCAAACCATAGGGACCATTTGTGTAATTTACTCAAATAATATAGGATTCACAAATCACAATAATCTTAAAGATGAAACAGTTTTGTTTCTTTGATGGTTTATTTAAGGTGTAAATTAATATGGATGCATATGCAATGTTCCCATTGCATGGTTGAATGTTTTTATAAAAAGATAGAATAAACACAACCCAAGATGATAACAACAAAAAAAAAAAAAAAACCCAAAAAAACCCAAAAAAACCAAAAGTGCGTATTAATGTTGTTATTATGCGAAAATTTTGAGAAATTCAAGTAATGTACAAGTCATAAAACATAAAATACAATTGAAATGAAATAAATAAAGTGTTGAACATGAAAAGACACAAATATTTATGTGCTAACGTTGTTATATATTATCAAAGAATTTTGAGAAATTTAAGTAGCGTACAAGTCATAAAGCAAAATTCTATCCATAATCTGTTTTCTACTCGTGTATGAAAAATTAGATAATTATCTCTCGTAATATTATTTTTTTGATCTTTTATGAGTTATGAGTGTTGGAAATGCCATGTTAAGCCCATAGATACCATTGGGTTAGGCAAAATATTTTGGGCCTAAGTTTGCAATTTATATCACTTCGAAATTTCAATCATATTTTTTCCCAAAGGCCCGAAACAAGAGTACCATATCTATCCATCTCAAAACCATGTGTCCAGTTGAAATATGGATTTAATTAAAACGTTCTCTTAGTTAAATATAAATAAAAATACACATCGGTAACAAAATAGAAAATTCGAAAATATTACTGAAACCAATTTCCATCTTTTCATTTATTTTGGAAACAATTACAATCAAATATGAGATACATCATGTATCTTGCAACAAATTTCATTCAAATTTACAAGACTTGAAGGATTCTCCCATTGCAAAAGTTCTGTAACCCCTTTCTCAATCTCCCTCGTCTCCCTCACTAAACCTCTCAAGCAAAATCCAATCGCACTTAAACTCAATACAAGTTCATGCTCCTTCACTTCCTCACACCCCTCTCCAATAACAACTTCTTGTGATCTTTTTAGATATGAATTTATTACATTCTCCATCTCATCTTCCCCATTTGATCCATGTTCATGTAACTTTGAAGGGGTAATTGGTAATTTCCCCATCTCAACATCACTATATGTGTTAGAAGCACCACTCTTTTGAACCTCCTTGTCAAGTTTGTTTAGTGATTTGACCAAAACAAGCCTCTCAAAACACTTGAGCGAAGGGTGAATCATTTCTTTAAAGATCTCCACCTCATCTTCAAGTGTCTTCATGCTTATGTTTTCTTGTGTTATATGATGATTTGCATGGTTCAAAAAGACGAAAAGACCCTCCATGTTCGACACACTCTTCAAGAGCTTACTATAACAAGCACTATTAAATGGCAAAAACCAAAAGTTGGGTTCCATAGCAGCCTCATCGATGAACTTTTTCAATTCATTCACATTAGCTTTAAGTTTCCTTTGACAATCTTCGAAACAATCTTGACTTTTTCCTCCAAGATTAATTGTGTTTACACACTCGTGCAAAACTTGGAGACTCTTGGAGAGTTGGAATTTCGCTAGAGTTGAAGCTCTAGTGGGTCTAAACATGAGTTCGACAACAATTGAACAAGATAATCCAATGAACGCTTCAACAATTCTAATGATAGCGAATTCTGTTGGAGAACCAAAATTCTCCCTTCCGAGAATTAAAACAGCGCCGATTACAGCTGACACACCACCAGCAGGACCATACATTCGGCTTCCCCTAATCAAACTACAGAAAATGAACCATGGAAGAAGAATCAAGAACCTTACTTTAACATATTTCTCAAGAACAAAACAACCCAATACTCCATATACAGTTCCTAACACAGTGCCTTGAGCTTTGAGATTTGAAACCCTAAAAACGGCTTCTCTTGAAGCAGCAAAACTAATCGCAACTGGAAGTCCCGACCATATCCCGTTTTCTTTGCTGTATATTAATCCAAATAGAACAGCGAAACCTACGGATAATGAACATTTCAATGCAAGCACGAACCTTCGGTGCATCAGAAAGGTGTTAATCGATTCAAAAAGATCGAATTGTGGATCCTTTTTGTTCTTCTGCCCTTCGCTTGAAGATGAAGGCGCCTTTGCTGGAGAATTATCTGTCAATGTCATCTTTCTTTCAAGTAATTTGGAACAGAATAAGAAGAAAAAAGAGGACAGATCTTTGTGGGTTTGAGGGAAAGAATGGAGGGAAAACGTTGGATTTTCAAGATTTGTTTCGGGAAAAGTTGCAGAATCGAAAGGGATGCAAGACTTTAGTTGGTCAAAGGTTATGGTTATGTGTTGTAGAAGCTTATGCAAGTTATCTTTTAGATCTTGATCGAGGATTTGAGGTGGAAATGAATGAAAATGGGACAAACCCATTTCTAGCCCTTTTATTGGCATCTCTATTTCTTCCATCTTTTGTGCTGTATTCATGCAGTAGGGTTTCAAGAACTCTATTGGAAGTGTTTCCCATTTCATGCTTTCCTACATAAGAAAATACCATCGTATAGATGATTAATAAGCATAAAAAGAGTTTTCAAATTCATTGAAACGGACAATAAAATATTGAGTAAATTACACGAATGGTCCCTATGATTTTGGTTAATTTGCACATTTGGTCTCTAATTTATTTTTTAACTTGGAAGGTCCCTACAGTTTGTTTTTGTTGCGGGTTTGGTCTATGTCTTACCTAAAAAGACTATTTTGCTCTTGATTTTTCTAATTTATTTAAATAAGGTGGGGTAGATAAGGTAAGGTAATGTGAGGTGGAAGTGGGATTTGGGTGTGTTTATTTAAATAAATTAAAAAAATCAAGGGCAAAATAATCTTTTTATGTAAGATTATGAACCAAACATGCAAATTACCCCAAACCATAGGGACCATTCCTATAATTTCCTCTAAAATATTCGAATTTTCAAAGGAATATGAAATTGGTGGAAATTGGAGCTTACTTTCTTGGATTTGATGGCATTTAGGAGTTTGGTTCCATTAATGGCAAGAGACTTGGCTTGTGAGACGAAAGAGTGTGCTCTTCTATTGTCTTCTGAACAAAATGCCTTTACACACAGTTCTACCCTCTCTGAAGCATTATCTGCATAAAGCTTGCACTTCTTCTTCACCTAAAATAATTCACAACATAATATCATCAACCACTATATCACAACACATTATGTATGTGTATGGTGCATGATGTTTGATGTATGCATGCATGTATGGTGTTCGTGTATATGTATTGTACATGTATTTTGGGAACGACGTACTTTGTTGACTGTAGGTTTAAAGTGTAATATAAGTGGATTATAACCAAGAAGAATATAATATGTTAATTACAACTATTCTTGTATAAATAAATTATAGTATACTAAAGGTTTTGTAATTTCAATCGACAATCCATCACCCTATTCCACTTTTCCCTTTTTGTCACCTTTAATTGTTTTCAATTCCTATAGTCCATTTCTCGAAGAAAAAAAAAAGCTAAGTATATAGGGTTTCAATTTCATAAAAATAAATAAATACGTAGAGTTTGAAAGACACAAAGGAATTTATTTGTAGAAAAAATTTGATATCATTGACGTACAGTACTATATTTTGTCGTAAGTAAGAGTCAAATATTATTGAAATAAAAAAATGAGTGGATATGCACTTAGGGTGTTTGGCTTAGCTTTTCACAGCTAAAAGTTCTTTTTGGAAAACAAAAAAAGGAAAAGATATTTGGCAAAACTAGTTTTAAAAACTACTTTTGGAGTTTTGATACAAGAAAAAAAAACTTTTTGAAAAAGTCAAGAAAACCTGATTTTTTGTAACTTTTCCAAAAAGGTCTTTTGGGCTGTGAAAAGCTAAGCCAAACACCCCCTTAGACTATTCATTCCATGCCAAACAGTTTATTAAAATACATAACATATCTAATTCTATTGCTACATTTAAATCTATTGTTTTCCTTAAACAGTAACACTCTTTTATCAAATTTAAACAAATTGCATATCTAGAAATTAACAAAACCTTTTACAAAATTAAAGTGTCTTCTGAATATCATTTTCTTGGTAAAAGTTTAGACAATAAGATAACATGACAAAAATGTTTAAAGTATCATTTACGATCATTTGTATCAAATCATAACAGTATCACGTTTTAATTCTATATTATAAAAGAGCAAACAAAATTGCACATAATACACATGAATGTTCATGTTTTATATTTCTTCATGCTAAAAGTAGCATATTTTGACGTCAAGAATAATTTTATGTTGCAGCTAGCAATGAGCTAGAAACAGAAATATAGGGAATATATACAAAGAAGTCAAAATACATTATTTCTCAAGGCTATATATTAACTATTAGCAACTTTAGCATGAGAAAAAAAATGGTTTTGGATTTTTATATGCACAACATAGATTTTTGTCGAGTGTTTAATTTATCAATAGTAAATTTACGATGATGCAAACAAAATCTAGGAATATCAAATTTCGGCGGTTTACCTGACACGTAGCCAAACCAGGATACGGAAGCAATAACGCAAGAACACAAGCCAACACCCCAATGGCGGTGCTAGCTGCCACGTGTACAGGATGCATGACTGGATCAGTCTGACCACCCTTATCATACGCCACCACGTAGATAATCACAATCTGCCCCAACGCTATTCTCTTCGACACCAAATGAGTCTTATGATCCGGCAGCATCACCACGAACGCCGCCATACCCACCACCACCGCAGTAAGCGCCGTTGTCATCCGTGACGGCTCTATCGCCCAAAGCCCTACGATTGCCGGAATAACTGTTAAAACAGTCGCACAGAGAGCGTCCCAGCAGCCGCGAAGTGTGTCACCAAGGGAAGCACCGGTCACGATGAGAATGACAGTGACGTAAGAGAAGGCTGGAAAGGCAACTTGGCTGCGGAGGGAGGAGGGGCCGAAGAGGGTGGCAACGGCTACGATTGAGCAGGCGACAGCCGTGCGGAAGGAGGCGGAGAGGCATGAAAGCCATAAGGAACGGGATTGGGGATTAAGTTTAAGCATGGAGGTTAGCATTGTGATGATTAGTGGGGTTAATCAAGAAGATTAGTGTAAGAAAGAATGAGAAAGGTAATGCAAGCTAGGAGATGGAAGGGGTGTATTGGTGAATTTATACATGAGGCTTAACGGTGGACCCCGCTATGTGGGGATTAAAAAAATAAAATAAAGGTATTAAAAATAAGGGATCCAGATCCTTAATACCATGCATACATGTAACTAAATCAAGAAATATAAAGACCAATATCATGGCTACGGAGGTGTTTAAAATATACGTATCCAAGAAAACAAAATATATTAGGAACTAAATCAATAAGTAACAAAAAAAAAACCATAAATTACGTAAACAATGGAGACCAATTCTAGTGAAAATTAGGATATTAAGCTCTATTCTCCGCGACTCCGCCCTGCTACTTATCTTCGTGCAGTTTCCGCCACTTCCGAACTGCTCACGATCTCCGACCGGTGACCTTCGTGCACATCTCACTCTCCTCTTCGTTGGACATGTATGTGACTCTATTTCCTCTCTCTCTTTTTTCTTTTTTTTCATTTTCTCTTAGACTCTCACTACTCAAGGTAAGAATAGATTTTCACTAGTCAAGGTAAAAGTAATAGGAAATAGGATATAAAAAATAGGCACGTGAATTCTGAAAAGGTTAAAAGCTCTTTGACAATTTTATGTATTTATAATTTGTTTACCTATTCATCTTTTTATAAAGAAAAAGATTTACTTGTTATTCTATTAATAACTTATTGTAGCTAAAGACAATAAGACATGCATCTTATTTTATTTCGTATATTGAAGATATCTAACAAAATGTTAAATAAAATTTAGAATCACTCGTTAACAATTTCTATTTATTTGGTGTTATTAGGATGAGTAAAAACTCTCGACCATAATTTTTTTTATTTTTTGTATGGGATACTAGTCATCATCATTACTGTTTATTAGCAAATACAATTAATTTTTTTTAAAACAATCTTACTAATGTCAACATAATTAGTTTGTCAAATTTCCCGTTAATTAGAGAACTAAACAATATTTTTTGAAGTTTTAGTTTCGGCCCCCTTATGTTTTATGTTTGTGTTCCGCCCCTTCCGGTTTCGAACATTTGAATAAGAAAACCCGTTTTGCAGTTTAAATGTTTAATTAGTTATGAAAATCCGACCATGAATCTTGCTCGAATGGCGGTCTCCACCAATGGTTGTCCGTTGGTTTGAGTTCTAGTTTTATTTTTTTGAGTGAGCTCCCACCGTTTCTTGTTAGGCTACGGGGATTGGTACTCGACACACACATGGACGCGGGGTACACTACTCCCCTGAACTCGGCATGCCGAGCTCTTAAGGGCAACTCGGCATCTCTTTGTCGAGTCTCTTTCTTCTGCATCTCTTCTTTCCTCCTTGCTTCTCCCCACTAGGAAGCCCACCCCTCTCTTCTTCTTCCAAGCTTCTTCCCACATTTCTTATGATGTGGAGTTTAGTAGGTGTTGCACGACTCCGTTCAGCCTTATCGGCATGTTGCGAATTTTTGTCTCGTCGGTATTGACATATTTAAAAAAAAAACATTTCTAAATACAACAATATAGATACATTTGTACCATACTAAACTATAACACTCCAAAAATCAAAGAAATTTAAAATTTTCAAAATCAACCATTAACCAACATTGTTTACAGAAAGAGTCATTGTTTCAAAAGCATTAATTCAAAATCAGAGTTTTCCTAAGACCCTGTGACATAAAACAGGAAGATGTGCACGATCACATCTTTGCTTTCCCACGATCCTCAGAAGTACCTGAAACAATATACTAAAAACTATAAGCCAAAACTTATTGAGTCCTCCAAAGTATCAACACACCACATAGCAAACAAGCATACAAATATGAGCACCTACCTTGACTGGACAGCCTCGCAGGGCCTGCAACCTATTTGGACCGCTCTACGAGCCTTCGGCATGACTGGACCGCCTCGCAAGGCCTATAGCCTATCCGGACAGCTCTACTGGCTGCCGACCTAACTGGACCGCCTTCCAGGGCCTACAACCTATCCGGTCGTCCCCGGGTGTCTTGGCATTCAACACACAGCAGGACCGCCTCAAACCAATACTACCATATGTATGTTGGATTAGGTGTCTAAGCCCATAACTATAATTGGTATATACTTAAATTGATAATAACACAGTCCTTTCGGGTTGCCCTCAAAACTAACAACTCGACAGATGATTTTGGAGAGAGAGGTTGAATTTATTATTTGATTAATAATTCAAAATAAATGATTTGTTAATATATTATGAGAATAATATATTAATTTAAAATAGTAATCTTTAATCAGAAATTAATTGGAATTAGTTTTGGGATTAAAGGAATTAATTAATAGTGCAAAGACTGAATTGTAATTGTTCAATACTTGAGCAAGAGGCAATCGAGAACCCTCCATATAGCCATGAAAGGTTTCTTAGGGCTTAAGGGTTCTAGAATAATCCCTAAATGGATAATCAGGAAAGTGGATAATTACCCGATTTAAGATAATCTTGGATTTAGGCTAATCTAAGGTTTCCTGACTGCACTATAAATAGGGCATAACCCTATGATTTTCGGCCAACTATTTCTTTAGAAGACATGGCCGAAAATTTCATCCACTGTCCTCCTTCTTCATCAACTTCTTTTGCTAGTGTTGGGTGTGAACCATTAGAGGCGTGACATCTGTGATGCTTGCTCTCAAGGCTTCAACAACACAAGGATTGTGATTGCTATTACTATATAGTGATCAAGATATGACAATTCTAACCCTTAGTTGTGAATTCGAAATCATAGTAGAATTTAGGATTTTATCTTTTGTTGTTCAAGTTGTATGTTCAATTAGAGAAAACGTATATCAAATTATTTAGGGTTGCATGCACACATAGGATTGTTCGTTATGCTCAAAACTCATTAGTGGTATCAGAGAGTAGGTTTAGTTTTCAATTGAATTGATACAATAGTGAACTTGAACAAGGAGGAGAAAATAGAATCGTCATTCTATTCTTCAAACACGCCATGGTGTCCTTTGAACACGATGTGTTGGCACCCAACACGGCGTGGTGGTCATAAAACACGGCGTGTTGTGTTGTCAGGTCTAAAATTTTGGGCCTTATCTGCCTAATCTGCTTGTATATGATAATTACTTGCTATACTTATCCTCGAAATCCGATTTTGGTGTATCTATGATGATAAATTAAAAGTCTAGAAGTTAGGAGATAAGTATTTGACTTAATTAATTGTTTTTGTTAATTAATATGATTATTTTAAGTGTATAAATAAATCAAGATATTAGTTGAATTAAATAATTAATGTCAAATAATATTTGGTATTTTGAAATGTTTAAAATACATCCTTGTGGTTTTTATTATTAATTTAATTAAGTGATTAATTAAAAGATAATTAATAAATCCATAAATGGTTTAAATTTAATTAAATTAAAATTTTAATTTATTAAAAGATTAAACCCTTAGAATTTTAAAATGTTTTAAAATAAACCTTATACTATGTATATAATTAAAAAGTTTAATATATGTTATATGTATAAGCAAAGGCAGTCGAACCGCTAGTACGCCTCATTCATGAAGCCGATCTATAAAGGGGAGTTTAAAGAATCGGCCTATAAAATGACCGTCATTGGGTATCCATTCTTACCCACCGCTCTCTTGATTGGTGGAGGGTCGTTAGCTGAACGGGTTTGATAGGACATAATCTCATTAAAAGTATAATGATATAGAGTAACTAAACTATTTTAAAATCTCACCCTTAGTTAGTTTAGGAAAATGTGAATTTGTATGCTAATCCGTGAAATTGCACATTACACTTTATAAGTCGTTAGTTAAGCGTGTGTGATTAACCGACACACTAATGTGGGACTAATAAAGTTGGTAATGGGTGTCTCGAAAATTATCGTTGATTAATGGAGCGTGTGTGGTTAACCGTCACATTAAAAGGAGATGATAAATGACATCGAGAGTACCAAGCTAATTTTCATGGTTATTCACATCTTGTTTGTGATCCTCGGCATCCCAGTCACAAAAGTGAGAGCGTAATCAAGATTAAACATGCCATTGAATAGTTCAATGAATCTCAAATGATCTAGGAGTTTCATGATATTGAAATTGGTAAATCTTTTACCTACCTAAAATAGATTCGAATTTGATTACGGCATCCCTCTTCAAACTTCGAATCGAAAATATGGATCCTAGCCTTAATTTAAATTTTTGGGTTAATAATTAATGGTTAATATCGACTAACTTGAATTCTCTTTTCTCCTATTATAGATGTCAGGTTCAGACAACAGTGGTCTTCCTCGTTCTTTGGGAAGTGGTTTTCCTCTTCCTTCTGAAGATGATCATCTACATTCTGATCAAGGTGAAAGTATGTTCCCTTCTTCAAGCAATGTTGAAACTGGAAGTCATGCTTCTTCAAATCTTCCTCCTCCTCCTCCTCCAGTGACTCTCCCTAAGTCATGCTTCCTTCAAGCTGAAAAATAGGAAGTTACTCAAGCCATATTGGCATGTAAACATCAAGATGGAAAATCTGTGTGTGCGTATGTTCTGAAAATGAAATCGTACATTGACAGATTGGGTATGTTGGTGTGGTTTTCCCAAGGTAGATAGCCATTGACTTGGTTCTACTTTCTCTTCATGAGTCATATAGTAAGTTCATTAAAGACTACTATATGGGGGACCACGACATGACCCTAATTGATTTGACACATATGTTGATTGTTGTTGAAGCAGAAATGCTTAAGAGCACAAGTCAAGAAAAAGTGTTTGAAGGATCTGAGTCCCAAATTTCCATGGACATTGACGATGGCAACAATGGTAGTCCAGAAAATATTTCTCTTCCCAATGGAAAGGGATCGACCAAGGTCAAACCGTTTGACCATATGGTAAAGAGAAAGGCTAGTTCTTAGATAGTTCCATGTGCTCACCCTAAGGAGTTCATATGTTTCTATTGCAAATTGAAAGGACATTGGTTGCGAAGCTGCCCTGAC